TCTTTCCACAAATGGATACTGATTGGCATTAATTACATTACCTTCTTTTAATTATTTGTCAGTCGAGTCCCATATCAGGTGCTCCATTATCTTGCCCACAATCTATGTCTCATGAATGAGTGCCACCCTTCTCTTCCACTTGTACAGTTCCTCATTTCAGGAGAGGATCATGAATAAGCGAAAATGTCGTTACTGAATTTAGACTCCAGAGACATTTAGTCAGTAAGAGTATAATCTAAATTTATAGCATGTAATCTGATCAACCAGACCTATTTTCCTGCAGCCCCAGTAGGCACACAGCCATAAAGAAAACACAGCACGAGACACCAGTTTGCATGCTTCCATCCATATTTGTGCTGGAGCATGAATTTATTATCAGGAATATATTACACTCATCTGTACATCATAACAGAAATAATACAAACATTTCCTGTAATTCATTAACTACGTATTAAATCAGACTACAGAACTCCTGCTGCATGGGAAAAACTTTACAGAAGGATCCCCAGTGTGTCCATGGGACACAAATGCAATCAGTGCAGAGACATAAAATACCTGATTTTGTTTGTTTTTTTCCTCACCAAAAAATATGGACTTAGCCATTTAGGTACCTGCTGATTTATCGTAAGCAAATTATTTTAATGAAATGCAGGAACTTAAACATACTGATCTGATTTGTGCAGACTTCTTAGTTGCAAGAATTCAAACACTGCTCGTGTCCCACAGACTTGAAGAAAAAAAGAGCTAAGGGCAGAAAGCAAAAAATTCTCATCACTTGCCGCTAAAAGCTGGTCTACACTAAAGCTGTAATTTGGCCTATGTTATGCTATTTCAATTATGTAACTGAAGTTGGCGGCACTTAGGCTGACCAATAGTGGTGTCAGCACTGAACTGTGTTGATGAGACACACTTTGCCGCCATCTTGCCTTCTGCCTCTCGCTGAGGTGTTGTATAGGCCTTAATGGGTGAGCACTTTGCCATTGACTTAGCTTGTCTGCACCAGACCTGCGAAATCAATAGTAGGACGTCGATCGCAGCAATGCTGATTGAGCTGGAAGTACAAAGCTCTGAAGCTGCGCTCCAGCTGGCTACGTTCTCAAAGAGGCCCTGCTTCCACCCGCTTATTCTTTCTGAGGAAGACACTTGCTGAGGGATTTGAGGGCGGTTGGGGCAGATGGACTGTTTAAAAGCTCTCCAGGAACCAACCAGGGGCGGAGGCCATAGCTTAATTTGTGTTTGTACAGCAACTTCAATGGTGCCTTCAGTCTGATAAGGTCCTTTGGGTGCTGCTGCAATAGAGATAATAAACACTCTTAAGGCCACCTCCCCCAAATAAGCTTACAGTTATATTTTTATACAGCAACGGTGACATCCGATGGTTCCCAGGAGTAATTACTCCATATGGATATGTTGCCTATGTCCTTTTGCAATCTAAAAGGTATCATTGACCTACCAGGCTGAGTCATCTCGGTAAGAGAAAGGGGGTGGAAGAATAACAGCACTGCACCCCTTCCCCTCTCTCTTATTGCTGGGCCCAACGCTGATCATTTCCCGTGCTCACTCCTTACAAACCAGATGAAAATGAAAGTAGACTGCTCTTCATCAACCATCTCCAAGTTGGTACTACAGGGATGTGCCATGGATGGGAGCAGTCCACCTAATCTTGCTGACTTCTCCTTGATATGTCATAGAAATGGACTGAACCAAAACCTGGCTTCTCAACCCCACCGACCGGTGGACAGACCCTCATTTCAGAAGCTAGCCCTGGGCCTCAGTCATATTAATGAAAGGACCTACAGAAGTGACTGTCATGCTGCTTTAGCTAATGGACAGTTGGAGGGTTCCACAGTGGAGGAAAAGAGGAATTCATTTGATCCTTCAATAGTTAAGGGCTTCTCCATTCTAAATGCAGTTTATAACACAGCCGTAAACAGTTGATTTGAATTAAAAATGTAAGCCAAAATTTCAAAACTGGGGGCCTGAAGTTAGTAAAACACACATTTAAGCAGCTTAAACTATCCTGATTAACAGAACTGTTGAGCAGCCACAAAGCCCAATGAAAGTCATTTTGGTTCCTAAATATGGATTTAGGAGCTTAAATCAGATGAGATGATTCCATTTGAAGAAGTGAGTTTTTGCCCACGAGAACTCATGATACTTTACATCAAACTAACACAGCTACCCCTCTGAGACCTTTAAACATGCAAGAACTCCCATAATGGAGATTCCACAACCTTCCTGGGCAATTTATTCCAGTGTTTAACCACTTTGACAGTTGGGAAGTTTTTCCTAATATTCAACCTAAACCTCCCTTGCTGCAATTTATGCCCATTGCTTTTTCTCCTATCCCTCTTCCTTGTAGCACCTTTTTAAGTACTCAAATGATATGTCCCCTCTCTTGCCTTGTAGCTTAGTCCAGGTCAGAGAAAAATCAATGTAAGATACACAATTCCAACTATGTGAATTGCATAGCTGCATTGACATACCTTGCATTGATTTTCTGGGGCAGCCCCACAGCGGGAGGCTGAAGGAAGAAACTTTCCCATCAACTTCCCTTACTCCTCACGACAGCAAGGAGTACTGCAGTCGACAGGGGTACCCACAGCATTTGATTTAGTGTGTTTTTACTAGACCCACTAAATCAAATCCTGGAAGATCGATCGCCAGACTGTCTCCGTGTAGAGGCAAGGCTCCCACTGACTTTTCCTTTTAATGGATAGTGATGAGTCACCCAAATCCTGCGGGTTCTGTTTTTTTAAATTCTGTCCTGACCCCAGTGCATTTCCTGTCATTTCCTCTGACGCCAGAACAATGGGAGATGGGAGATCAGCCAAGCCAGCCACAAATGTGTGATGCCTGCAGTTCAGCCAGTATTTGGTCCTGAAAGCAAAATCTTGCCCAAACCTCCTTCCCTGGATTCCACCTGCCCAATGCACCTACCACCCCCATTGTGGTTCTGGTGGGAATTCTGGTGCACCAGGAAAACAGGTTTGAGCCTCTTATGTATTCACTTCAATGCCAATCATGCACCAGACAGTTTCATCTCCCTTACCTCATGCCAGAAGAAGCTAGCTATTGTATGTGGACAT